CAAATACTGGGGTAGGCTGTCTTAGATTTAGAATGCAAGTATTACCCTGATTGGACCTAAGTATTTCTTCCTTATAATCCTCTAAGTTCCTGAACTTTTCCTCTATATCTCCCTTTTCAAGCTTCCTAAGCATTGTCTTAGTCTTTCTCATTTGTTCAATTCTTTCTTCACCATTTCCCTCATGGAAGCCACCTTCATATCAGACACTCTAGCCTTAGACTTGAAAAAATTATTGACTAACCAAGAAGCAGTGCACTAGGTATTTTCCAGCCCGGGTTGCATGTATGCTCACTATGATATGTCTTCACAACCCACTTCTTACTACTGCTTCTATTATCTATGCCAATGTACACCATCCAACTGCAGCCTTTGTTTAAATTGGAACATTTGACCCTGAGCATGTCAGCACAATTCTTTGCCCAATAGTATGGATACCTATCACTGATAGAATACTTGTCCATGGCATATTTAGCTTCTTATTTTGACTCAAAACTCATACCCAACCTGAACTCCACCTTGTCAGTTGGTTTGAACTAGGAAATCTTGACTTTGTTCTCAAATTCCCCTCTTCTTCCGCATCTGACTCAGATTTGTAACTTCTATCATCAGATGAACTGAAATAATCAGTGTCATTTTCATCACCATCTTCATTTGTCCCTTCTTCATTTACCTTTTCCTTTCCTCTACCAACACTCTTTTGTTTTGTGACAAGTTTTTTTAGCAGCAATCGCCCATGGAGCAAATCCTCATGATCTTCATTTTCTGAATTGAAGTCTTCTTCGAAAAGCAGACCAGCTTCTGCCTCTACATCTGGATCTTCAAATCCAATATTAACAACACCCTCCTACACCCCACTGCCACAGCCTGTGTTGGTAGTTGGACTACACATACAGTCATAACTACCAAATTCAATAACAAAGACAAATCTTTTAATAAGTGCATAAACATTATATCGTCACTAACTAAATATGTCAAAAACGTAATACAATACTAATCGAACATAAATTTACATACAATGATATACATTACACATAGGCGAGCAACATATTCATACCTTTGATTCATGTTTTCCATGATTAATGCTTCAATTCCTCCTTCCCCCTTCACCTCTCTAAGCTTAGGAATCCATGCTCAGCGCTGATTAGTGATTTTCTTAAGTGTTGGCGTAATGGTTAGGGTAACAACAATCATGGTTAGGGTTTGTACAGCGTAATGGGTCTATTAACGAATGAGGTGGCTTTTTATTCCAACTCAGTATTATGTTTGCCACATCACCAAAAATAACGCTGGTTTGTACCCTAAGTACTACTTCAACTATAAAAAGGCCAAATGGTGTACCGTTTAAACTGATTTACAAAATGGAGTACTCTTTACTCCACCGGGCACTACTTCATGTACTGAATCGACCCTTTTCTCCTCCAGATTTCTATCACTACCTCCGTCCCTTAAAACTTTGACAAATTTGACCGGCACGAAGAATAATAAAGTAAAAACGGTGTGGTTGAGATTTGTGCAGAAGAGAGAGAAATAACAGAAACCACAAAATAATTGATTAAAAGGGAAAGTGACAAAGTTTTTTGGGACGTCCCAAAAAGGAAAGATGACAAAGTTTTAAGAGACAGAGGGAGTATTATTTATTTGGATGAATTTCGATGGATTTCTACAAATAAATTATTTCACCACAAATTTTGTAAACATCCCTTGGATTTTTTTTTTGGAAGAAGGGGGCTTAAATTGATATCACAACATTCAGATAGGGAGTAAAACGACAAAAGGACCACATGTAACTGTCAGCCCTCGAACCAGACTTAGAGTAAATCACCTTCAAAAAAGCAACATAACTCGTTGATCCTGTAATGGGCATAAATGAGCCAACAACGGTTAAAACATGTCTCCCATCACTCAATCATAATGCAAGAGTCTTACAACAATAAAAGTAATCAACAGAAAAATAAGTAGTCTGATCATGAGAAATAAATCGCAAGCAAAGAGTAAAATTAAAAAGTCGCTTCCAAACCCTGGGCTCTCCTGCACTCCATGGCGGTGGTTCAGGAGGGGGACAATCCAGCAGTACTGTAGCTTTTTCCTCACCTTGCCTCTTTTTCATCACGTTCTCTATCAAACCTCCTATGTCGCCACCTAACATGGATGACCTCGACTCCAGATCTGTTCCAGCCGCTAGCCCATGCTTCATCCATGACCTTTGGCCGCCTGAGATCAGGCATCCGTCTTCCGTCCCTGCACAACCTTCGGCCGCTGGAGACCAAGCATCCCCTTCCCTCCGCTTAATCTCGTGAAAGCAAAAGAAGAAAAATAGCCACACAATAGATGGCGGAAGAAGAAACCCTGTACGCCTAATCCCGCCTGCAGCGACTGCTCCTCTTTACAAACGATAGCAGAGGAAAAAACCCAAAAGGTGGAAACCCACCCTAGAGAGAGAAAGAGTCGGGAGAGACTATCACACAAAACCTTATTACGCCACGCATCCCTTGGATTTAAAAATTCATAATCTTTTTTTTAATATAAAAAAGGAAAAATGGAAACTAATAATCCAACCTTTTAGCGGTTTTCTTACAGTAGTCTCACCTTTTGATTGTTCATGAATAATCCAACCTTTGCACCCCATCTTCATTCACTGGTCCCTGGCCGATTTATGACCTGTTATTCCAAGTTGGATTATTCATGGTGTAATGTTTTACAAAGATATGGTAAAATGTTTTACAAAGATAAGAAAATAACTTGGAATAACAGGTCATAAATCGGTAAGGGACGAGTGAATGAAGATGATGTGCAAATGTTGGATTATTCATGAATAATCAAAAGGTGGGACTATTGTAAGAACACCGCTAAAAGGTTGGATTATTAGTTTCCATTTTCCCTATAAAAAATCATAATCTATTAAAATTCATCAAAGGCATAATTGAGGATACCCCTTCATCATTTTTATAAGCGCAAGCGTTATCATTCCATCAAAATAGTAATATGATTGTTTTATTTTCATAACCACACACTTTATCCTTATTATCTTATTATGTTTACCAGTGCACTGCACTGTAAGATACGTGTTAAAAAAATCTTAAAATTATAGGAATTGTGAATTGTATTTCAATTCGTCAATTGAAATTTAAAACAAATTCAATTGACCGTGGATAGAGTTGTCAAAATGTGTCGAAATCCGTAAGGCATGCCCATTTCATCTCATTTCATGATGAGTTAAAATTGTCGTTTTAACTCGATGGTTTTGTGTGTCAATCTGCACGGGTTGTAAATTAAGTGGATTAGCCCATGCAGGTTGCGGGTTGGACAATATACAAACATCTAATTTCGACTTTCATTATTTCCAATGTTGATCAATTACTACCAAAATTATTTTCAATTATATATTTATTATTCTACAACCTTTGTTGAACTATTATTTCAATAATAATTATTCAAATAAATTACCCAGTATATTTTTATGTTATAGTTGATTTTTTTAACAATTAGTAGTCATTATTTACAGATATTTACTCAAAAAATCTAATTGTATCTTTATTTTTGTATTATGAGTGATTTTTATATGTGCCATTTAATGGTTATCGAATTTTAGTATAACAATGATTTAAAAACATTTTTAATTAAACTTATCAAGTATTGTGTACTTAATACATTGATTTCTCATGATAAGAGAGAATTTAGATCAAATGACAATGAATGGAAAGAAATGAGAATGAACATGTAGCGTTAGATTAGAGAATTATGTATTTTTTAACTACAAGTGTGTGCCTCCATTAAACCAGAAAATGTTGTGACATTAACATTTTTGTAAATAAATTCAACGTTTTTTGTATCCTTTTTAAATTATGAATTATTTTAACTATAAATGTGTGTCTCCATTAAATATAATGTGCATTATTTCATATCATTCTCATTTCTCACAAATACGAAGTATAAGTTTTCCTATTTGAACCAGACCATATATATATTTCAAGGTATTTATTTCCAAGGTCTTTGGTATACTTTTTTTACATTGATCTACATGGCAGCCTTTGAAATCCATATATTAGAATATATGACCCACTATTCGGCAGTTATACCGATTTGAGTCATGAAAAGCCTAACCCACCACAGGTTAGGTAAGATCAGAGAGTGCTAGCTCATCTGACAGTGTGAAACATAAATTGCGCGAGATGTATAAGTAAATATGAGATAAAATAGTGAATCTACATTTAGATATTGATTTGGTAGTAATAAATAGATAAGTATACTACCACTTTTATCACATAGGGATCGAGACATGTGCATTTATTAAAAAAGATTTTATGTGATTAATATAAAATTAGGAAAGAAAAGATAATGTAAGAATAATTAAGAGCTGCACAGATATTACAATATTTTGAGCTACAAAAATCTAGTGATTGGAAGAAAAATGAAATGTGTGAAAAAATCAATGATACAAAGGGATTAATAATTATCATATTTTTGAAAGAAATAAGAAACAATTTATAAAACTCAAAGAAAGGGAGCATCTACAAGAGTTATACGAAAAGAAGTAGAGATAAATATTTTTTAGTTTAATTGAGACTAAAAATTGTTAACTATTTTTATTTTTAGGTATTTGAAATTTGTACTACCGTTGGGTGCAAAATTTTACCTTATGTACAGAATATTATGACAAATATATGAATATATATAAACATATAAAAATAAATAAATAAATAAATAAATAAATAAATAAATATTTTCATATTAGATGCAACATATTTTCATATTTGGAATACATAGACTTGAGTTTTGAAAGTTGAATAGTTTTGCCACATATAAAAAATCATGTAATATTATGTATCCAAAAGGACCACAAATGATCAAAAAATAATAATTATGTACCAAAAATAGGCAAGGTCAAAGACAAAAATCAAATATGGGATTGCCTAATACTCATAGAATCAAAAGCAGTTAATTCGTTTAATAATGAATCAAGTTAGAACATTACACTGAATAAAATCAAATAATTCTCTCTTGGTCATTGTTGGAGCAATTTAGATGCATAACTACAAAACGAGAATGAGGCTAATAATATATTACTCATCATCACACAATGACACAAATACGGGCTAAACGAGTAATTCAGGATTGTCTTTGTCACCATCAAATAACATTGAGCATTGTAGAAATACACCTAAAGCTTAATAAAAAAATCTGTCATACTAATTCATTTTTAGACGCTCTCACAACTTCTTCAACATTGTCTCAATCATTGGCGGGGCAAATGTGAAAATTACAGAAAGCAGTGAAGAAAGTCTTTGATTTGGTCAATAAATGGAGATCGTGTAGGAATTATGTGACCAAAATCGTGCTCTATGACAACAGAGCAACCCTCATCAAACATGGAAGCAAGTTGTTTACTGGCTTGGTTCTCTATCTGCCTGTCGCACCCTTTTTCATTCCCGAATATGTGAAGTGAAGGACAGTTTATTGAACCCTGCTGACAGTCACCATCTTTATTGACAGCAAATCCAGAGCACAAGATCGCAAACCTGAAATCTACCTCTCCTTTTAACTTATCCTTGTTTGCACAAAGTAAAGCGGCCATTGCAGCTCCTTGTGAGAACCCCAAGATCCCATCAAACGGCCCTTCTTCAGAAAATTTAGTTTTCAGATAGGAGAGTGATTTGTCTAACCCCTCAGTTTGTTTTTCGTACTGTAGATAATCAAATTTACAGTCTGATGTTTTCCAATCAGAGTTATTATCTGGAATGTAGTCATTTGCAACTAACCATGCAAACTTTCTATTGCAACCACTAATAGGTGGAGGGGTATCATTGTTAGACAAAAAAGATGATGTGAGATTGTGTTTATGGTCTGGCGAAGGAAGTTGGTATATAAATGGTAACACATGAGGTGCATCAACGAAGATTAGTTCAGCAATGTTCTTAAGTTTCTTGGCTAATGATGCGGACCTTCCTTTAAAACCTGAAGCATTCTGGCGGAAGCCATGTAAGCACAGAATCCTCAGTCTTCTGGGCATCTTTGTCCCTGAACCATGTTGTTTTGCAACAATATCAGTTAAACTTTAGGAGGCATTAATGATTGATAGCACATACTCAGTGTTGACAAAGTAAATACACAGTATGTCCCATTTTTTTGTATGCATTTTTATTTTTTAGTTTGTTCCAGATTTATGCTTCAGTTTTCTATATTGAACTCCACTAACTTTTTATTGTTCTCATTTTATCCTTTTATCTATCTTTTCACATCTTCACTTCGTGCGCCCCATATTTCGTTTTAGTCTCTATCCATCTTAAATATATGTTCTGCAACTATCCTGAAGTTTAACTAAAAAGATCTCTTCCGGAGTAAAAATATATATAACATTTTTTATCATTTTGAAATTCCATATTGAGTTCAAAATAGTTCTGCGCACTTCTTAAATATCTAAACTTTATTCACTATTAGATAAAAATTACGTAGTACTAGAAATGGAATTGTAAATATTATTAGTCAAACCTTGTAATCTGTGGAGTGCACAAAATGAATGGGATGGGGGCTAGGGAGTAGAGTACAAGAGAGTAGTATTGTTTTATAAATTAGAATGACCAAATTATAAGATAACTAGCACCTGCTATATATTATCTCAAAGAGCATATAAACCAAATGCAAAGAGTACTACGGTACTACCTTCTCTCGGAAGATAGAAAAGTTAAATTTGGTTAAGAATCACGGACCTTACCATTTTGTTGTACAACAATAGGCAAGCATTCAGTTGAAGTCAAAGTGGAAAAAGCTTCAGGTTTAACAGCTTCAGATATTTCTACTGCTTTCATATCCAAAACTGAGTAAACAGCCTTGCCATTTTTTTGGCATAGTTCACATGCATACATAGATTTTGGATTCTGCATGGTACAAGAACAATTTTGCTCAAAAAAAAAAGATTCATTATAAAAAAAATAAAAAGGTCATGTGTGAGGTATGTGTGGCTATGATGAAAGGGCAAAGGGCAGAAAATGTTCGTATTCACAGGACCACATGTATACATATATACTACCTCCGTCCCATTCAAAGGTTCTCGTTCACTATTCTCCGGTCAACCGTAAAGTCTTCTTAATCTTTTACTTTATATATCTAACTTTTATTAAATTTGAATTTTTCTTTTGCAAGTTTGTAAAGCTTTTAATGTAGTTTCTGAATATGTAAATTTTATTTACTAATTTTTTTTTAATTACAGACAGAAATTAGTTAACTTTATGGTCGGTGAGTCAGTCAAACATCGTAAACCGCGTGGGAGCCTTTATACGGGACGGAGAGAGTACTTAATATATATAGATACTACATGCTTGCTAAAGTAGCCTTAACTAGCCATACCTGACAGTTCTTGCAAATTAAAACAAGCATTCTACAGAAATTGCACCGATTACGAGAAGAATAATCATCAAATGATGAATTACAGAGAAGACAGGTACCCAAAACTTTTGAATCCGAGCTCCCAACTGAAACCCTGGAATCACTAGTGAAAATCAATAACTGATAACTATTGATTACACGTACCTATTTTCACTCTAGTATCTCACTATCTGTAACCTATCAAAGTCTATAATAACATCTCTAAAAAAACTCAAGTATAATAAAAAACAAAAATACCTATGATCAAAAACAAAATTCTTTCCTCTGAAAAACCCCCCATCAGGATACTGTTCAAGATAACGCTGGATCCCACCATATAACTGCAAAGATGTTGATCATTTGAATCTTCATACTGACCAATCATGTTAAAGCCTACCAATTATAGAAAGCCTTGAGATTCAAGAGCTATCTAGAACACAATGCAGGAAATTCTTCAACTGGAATTACCTGAAATACATGTTCAAAACCAGCACCTTTTGTTTTAATATAGGCTGAAGCCATCTCACATCTAATCCCCCCAGTACAGTACCTGGATAAAGAATCCAGGATCGATATATACCAAGATGATATAGCAGCACTTCAAGCATAAGTTCAACTACTAAAACAATGCTTTGATACAAATATCAAGTTTTCCTGCAATTTATTTATAAGTAGGGCTACAATTACAATTTTACCCACATGATTTACTTTTGGAAATAATGTGGCATTGGAGTATTCACATGAAATGCAACAAAAGAGAAGCTGAACACTTGAACAGTATTGTAAAAAAGGGAAAGAAGAAATATATTGTAAATATGATGGTTTCAAGGATAACTTGAAATTGATGCAGTAAAAATATCCTCAAACTTAGTAGTTGAAGAATTGAAGTGAAACAGTGTCGAGAATAAATTAAGAAATAAGTTGTTGGTGGACTAATAAAGAACAACTATACAGCACAACACTTGAAGTTCAAAAACTTGCATTACATATTTAAATGACCTAAGCTGCAACTATTTTCCCGACACGACTAGGAAGTTCAAATGGATAGAATGAGATAATGAATGCATCAAAACAACAATGACATGTATTAAATTTATAAGTAAAAATAATCATGATGACTGAAGTCTGAAACATGAGGCGCTTAAAATGAACACTTACATAAGGATATTTTTTCCCTTCAATTTCTCAGCATTATTATCTATCCACGACGGAAGGTCACTGTACTGCCTAATTTCTGGATCTAAAGTCTCCACATTTGGGGTAGAGAACTTCCCAATTCTTGTCTCGTATAAGTTCCTGGCATCCAACAGGAGTGTTCTATTTTTTCTTTTCTCCTTTGGGTTCCCTAGTATTGGTATGGATAATTAGGGGGCTGCTAAACAAAATATATACTACTACGTACATAATATCCACTACAAACCATGAAGTGATATTCCATCAAAAGATGAAACATAAAAAATTGCTGTTTGTTGTCTGAATCTGTCTACATTATATAATTCAGTGTCAAACCTATATTTTTCTAAAAATGCTAGAACCTATACTCTTACAATACCAGCCTATGCAATAGACTTCCTTTGGATGTCACATTCAAAAGATGTGCAAGCTGCGCTAGATGTGTAGACATACTAGAAAAGACCGCTTGAGAAACGAGACACAAAATACTTAACCAATAATTTGCACAAAATACTTAAACCAATAATTTGCTTTTTAAATACTACGGAGTACAAAATAATGTTATACGGAGTATCAAACATCTTTATAAAGACTCAATAAGATGAGTGTTTTAAATAATAATGTTTTCAAACCCAAAGGCAAGTCCTAAAAACACAATACTTGCTGACCACTACTAAGCATGTTTCTGAATACCTTCCAGAACACTTCCTCATAGGTTATTGGACCCTATTTGAAAATTAGATTACAAGTGACAATCCATTCAACAACTCATTGGATGAAGGTCATGTCTTAGTACACAATCTAAAGTTGAGAAGCTATATGAATAAAATAAAGGTTAGGCACCAAAATAGAGAAGTTGGGAGATGGGAAACCAATTTTGTGATTTTTATTTAAAAAGCACACCCATACACATAAGTTACACGTTCTTAGGGTAGTAGGGTATAAGACTATCTACCTGCATCACAAAGAACCGAGTGGAACTCAACTGCAGAAAGATGTGCTCCTGCATTTGAAACATCTAGAGATTTTGGCAGCGGAAAGGAACTCAAAGTCACCAATTCCTAAACAATAATTAAGAGCTGGAATCACAATCAGAAAATGCAATCAGTGAAGTGATAACTCAAATAAAATTTTAAGTAACCTCAACTATGCGGATGGAGAGAGAAGTGAATCCACATTCTTTAGCAACCCTATCGTTTAAAGGTTCATGACAAGATGCAAGCTTGAAATCTGTTCCTTCAAAAAAATCATTCAGCTTCACTGCAGAAATGTGCTCCTCTAAAGCAGACAACTTTCCCCCAACCTGAATGGAAAATGAATCAAAGATACCCCAACTCGCACAGTGAGTGGACTAACATTACATGAAAAACTGTGAGATGACACTAACTCTCAACTTTGGATAACTCATATGGCACTCTCTCGCTAGGTATGTAAATATATGAACATTAATAAATGCCTCAGCAAAATGCTGTGTTTTGATATATAAAAGACATAAGTAATTTTCATTTTAAATCATATATGCCCAACGAACAGATAAAGAAAATGAACTTTCAAAGTAAACCTATAGTCCTATGTGAAACCCAAAAAACTTTTGAGATACTGTTTTCTGTTTATATTCATCACTGAACATGTAAATATGAAGATTACGGTGACATTGACGCCGTGGGTAGAAAGACGGACGCGGCCAACGAGGGAGAGAGACGCGCAGTTTGATCTGTAGAAGTTAAGGAGTTGTTCGAGGTCGGTGAAGATAGCATATTTGTAATACAAAAGAACACCATAGCATTCTCCATCTTGTGGATGTTGCTCAATTTCTTCTGCCGCCATTAATGAAGAAGAACACGAACTTTGTGATTCACTGCAAGTCCCGTTTGATCCGATTGCAATTGGTTTTACACAGTAACTCCTTTCTTAAATAAATCCAATATAAGTAATTTTACATTACTTACATATTCAATTACGTTTTATTTATTACTCCGTAATACTTAATAATTCAATTTAAAATATATTGTTTTTTTATCATATTTTAAAATATATTGTTAAATCTGTATCATTGTAATTTTTTAAAGAGACTCTCTATCTCGGAGTAAAACTTGTACAAAATGCAAGAATATGACTCCAATGTTTTGTATTATTATGTAAGAGTAAAAAGAGGTGACTTGACACTATTACCCTTAATGAATAAATCAGTTTATTTGTTAATAAGGGGGTGTTTGGATCTGATTCTCAAAACTGATTCTGCTCCTTCAGGGAGCAGAAAAAGAAGTTGGAGTGTTTGGGTGAAATTCCAGAAGCACTTCTGGTGCTCTAATTTACTCTCAAATCAGTTTTTTTAGAAGCTGGGGGGTACCAGCTTCTGAAAACTGATTCTGATTCTGCTTCTGCTTTAAAAAAGAAGCAGAATTAGAATCAGTTCCAAACACCCCTTAATAATACAAAGTAAAACAATAAAACAAATTGTGAGGCCCAACACAATCCTCATGCACAAGACTCACGCTAATGGTGCAACCTTCATTGCCACCACCTGCTTGGGTGCTGCTGTCACCACCGGCGTCGGCGCCATCACCATCGGCGTCGGCGCCACCACCACCGGCGTCGGAGCCGCGACCACCACCGGCGACCGACCTTATCTAGTCTTTCCGTCAACCGCCACCATAACGGCGTCTTCGCCGCCTCATATGCGACGACCTCTGCATCACCGCTGCCGGCCTCCACCGGCGACCGACCTTAACTAGTCTTTCCGTCAGCCGCCACCATACCAGCGTCTTCACTGTAGATCTCAGATCTGGTGAAAAAATATTTAATGCCATGTTAAAATCATAATGCCTTTTTGTAAAAAATACATGGCATTAATGGTTATACAATATGGCATTATTTGCTTAATTTGTTCAAGTAACATTGTCATCTTTATTATGAAGTTAATGTCATTAGTGAAAATGGAATTGATGGAGTATATGGCCCGGGAACCCCCGGCCCACAGACTCCTACTACTCCGGCGAAGGCCCAACAGGCCCAAAAGGCCCAACAGGCCCAAATCACAGCACCCAGAGTACCAAGCAGCCCGCACTACGCGCCAGGGGTGCCTTCGGCCCCCTGGCCGAAGGGTCTAAACTCTCACAGAACGGGTTTCTCAAGCAAACTAAGAAACTGGGAGAAAACGGCGAAAACAGTAGCCCTCGGTACTGTGAGCCCTCGGCACCAAGGTGCCCTCAGTTGGAGGAGCCTTCGGCTACTGCTCTGTAGCCGAAGGCATCTCACTCGACAAGATATCCGCCTCACATGCGTACAGATCACCGTACCCTGCACAGACGTCCCATCCAACAGCCGCATTAAATGCGGCCACATGCGGCTGCCAGCGCCAACCAGTTGAGGTGACCCCTCGGCCAATGAGCGCTTGACACGTGTCCCTGCCCGGCATTTATTGCTACTATAAATAGCACCCCATTTCCCCATTTGTAACCACGCTGAAAACGGCATTCATACTGAATACACTCTCTCTCTACTTTTATTTACTTGCTCTGACTTCTCTCTAAGTTATTCCCCGTAATAACCCTTCGGATATATACCCCCGGGTAGACTATCCATCATTTGGTGCTCTCGTTGAGAGGTCGAACAATCGAGTAAGAAACCCTCCCCCTCGACCAAACACAAAACACTAGCCCTCTATCAAAATGGTGAGGACAACACGTGCCAACTCAAAGAACGTAGAAGACAAGAACCTGGCCCTCGGCGATGTCAACGCCCCCGAAGCCTCTCACAGGGCTCCCGAGGGCGGTGTCATCGCTGGGCTGGAACAGGCGGCTGTCGATCTACGCCTTCAGATCCAACAGAATGCCCCCGATGCCCGCCTCGGCATCGAGGCCAAGAAGAAAAACCAGAGCGATGACCAAGTCAGCCCTCCGGTTCTCACCATCGACGTACAATCGGCGCTCTCCGCCTTCATCCAAACGCTCACCCAGAACCCGGGTGCCTTCGGCACCCTGGCTCCAGCTCACCCTCAGATCGGGGAAAATATCATACTTCCCCCTCTGCCACACCCCTTCGGAAATCCCACCCCTCGGGTGAGAAACGACGAAGGGGTGGTGGCCCAAGATACGTCCTCCCAGGAAGTTCAGTCCCGGGACCGCCATAATGACAACAGGGAAAGGCCCCGTACTTCCGCCCTCAACCGGCTCGGAGGAGGGCCAGACCGCCGAGGGGTCCAAGACCGCCTCGGGGGGAAAGCACTCCAAAGGCCCCAGGAAAGCGGGGGATCTGTTTCGAGGGCAGACGAGGAGCGTCCCCCTCGGGACAAAGGCAAGGCACCCCTTCATGCCAATGACGCTCGCCACTAGATCAACCAGGCCCACTCGGCCCGGGTTCTTTCGCAGGGGGCGGAGACCCTCCCGAAGGATCCCCGGGACGAGATTATTGCGGCCCTCCAACGCCGGCTTGACGAGATGGAGTCCAACAAAGCTCACGCCACCACCTCCACCCCTCATTCAGGTCTCAAATACGAGGCCATGATGGCCAAAATGGAGGAGTTGCAGAAGAAGGTGGCCGAGGGCTCCGGAGAACCCGTCATCCAGCTCCGGACTCGGACGCCATTTACCCCAAGGGTATTGGCGGTCCGAATCCCGGAGAAATACCGAGGGCAACATATACAGCCCTACAACGGAAAAACGGACCCCCAGGAACATTACAGCAAGTACCAGAACAACATGATGATGGTAGGGGCGTCGGACGAATATTTGTGTCGTTGGTTCCTCTCCACCTTAGAGGGGCCGGCATACGAATGGTTCAACAGGCTACCCGAGGGCTGTATTGATTCCTGGCAAGAACTCGCCCAGCGATTCTTGACACAATTTGCCGGGAGGCGTCGCACAAGGAAGCACTTCTCCCACCTCCTAACAATACGCCAGAAGAGGGATGAGACCCTTCGGGACTTCCTAGAGCGCTGGAGGACGGAGGCCGACAAGGTCGACGGTGCTGATGGCGGGACCCTCCTGGCCCTCCTACAAACCGTCCTCCGCACCGACAACTTTTCAAGGAGCCTCATCATTGACCCCCCCCCCCCCCCCCCCCGCGACTACATAAGGGCTTTGCAGCGGGGGGACCGATATGCTGAGGCTGAGGAGGTGGAGAAGTATCACCAGCATCCGGACCAGCAGCCCCCGAGGGCTGACAACAAGCATAACCGAGGGTCGGGGGCTCCTCCAAATCACCCCACGGCTTCGGGACCCTCTGATGACCGCCCTCGGCAAGGCCAAGCCAAGCCCGGGGGAGGATATAAGAGCAACCCCAAGACTTGGGCACAGCCCATTCTCCTGGACCGCCCTCAGACACCATTGACGCACCCCGTCAGCATCATCCTCGATTTTGCCGAGGAGAGGGGCCTCGTTGAGCGTGATTCTCGCGCACCCCCGGAGGTACACGCTATCAACCCTCAGTTCCCCTACTGTCGCTTCCATCGGCACCAGGGGCACAGGACCGATGACTGCCATCAGCTGAAGACGGCCATCGAAAGATTAATACAGGCGGGGCACCTGTCCCAATTTGTCCAGAGCCCTCGGTAGGAGGGACCTTCTCATCAGGGACCTCCCTGAGGGCACCATACGAAGGTAAATGCCTGGGTAAATCCGAACACCATCCCCCTCGGCAAGAAGAGGGAGATCGGAAACTTGGAAGAAGAGGAGGAGGAGTACCCCCACTACCAGGAGAAGAAACGCCACATCCTCATGATCACCGGTGGCAATACAGGGGGCGATTCCACCAGCCAGCGAAAGAAGTGGGCTCAATCGCTTTACGTAGGGGAAGTCACTCATATGCCCCCGGTAAAGCGACTGAGGGAGGAACCCATCACCTTCACCAACGCAGATCTCCCCCCCACTTCTTCTCCTCACAGGGATGCCTTGGTGATTCGGACGGAGATCAACGACACCATCATTCACCGAACTTACGTTGACAGAGGCAGCTGCGTCAATGTAATGTACCTCAGCACCTTCAGAGAGCTGCATCTGGAGAGGGGGTCCCTTCGGCCCATTAAGACCCCTCTTGCCGGCTTCACCGGCGATACTGTTGATTCCGAGGGGGTAATAACCCTCTCGGTGATCTTCGGCGACGGGCTCCATAGAGCCCATCTCGAAGTGGAGTTCGTCGTCGTCAACATTGACTGCGCCCACAACATCATCCTCGGCCGGCCAACCCTCGAGGACCTCGAAGCCATCATCTCCATGAGGCACCTCTGCCTCAAGTTTCCCGCCGAGGGGGGCATTGGATACTCCCGGGGGAACCAAAAAATTGCCCGCGTCTGCTATCTTCAGGTCACTAAGAAGGTAAGCAAGACGGAATTCCGTGTTGACACCATCACCGGAGCCATCGACCAAGAGGAAAGAAGGCCGAGGGCTGAACCGGCCGAGAACGTAGAAGACTTTGCGCTCGATCCGGCCCAGCCGGAGAGAGTCGTGAAGATTGGAGCTCAGCTCCCTGAAGATTTGAAGACCGGTATCACCGACGCCCTCCGCGCCTACTCCATTGTCTTTGCATGGGGGCCGGAGGACATGCCGGGAATCAGCCGAAGGGTCATCACCCACCGCCTCTCGGTGGACCCCTCGGCAAAAGCAGTACAACAACGAAGGAGACCCCTCTCCGCCGAGAGGAGGGAATTCGTGAAGAAGGAGGTCGACATGCTCCTCTCAATTAAACACATCAAGGAGGTGAAATACCCCTCATGGCTAGCAAATGTAGTCCTCGCACAGAAGCCCCCTACCTTCCGCATGTGCGTGGACTACACCGATCTCAACAAAGCATGCCCTATGGATCCATTCCCTCTACCAAACATTGATCAATTGGTGGATGAGACCGCAGGGTGTGAAATCATGTCCTTCCTCGATGCCTTCCGAGGGTACCATCAAATATTCATGCACGAGGAGGACACC